AGCAATCTTGCCAGGAATCTCGGCTCGTCCACGGCTGCTCTGCGCTGCTCCTTGGAGGCATTGCGGCGAGCACCTCGCGGGCGCCGGCCTTGGGAAAGTCAAGCGCACGCGCGCGCGCGCGGCGGAGCGGACAGATGCACGGCAGGAGCTCGAGTGGTGGTGAGATTGAACCTCTCGATCGAGATGTTTGTTACCTGTGCTGCGATGAGCGATGAACCAGATCGAGCGCCTTCTGCTCTGCGCTACCAAATGTGATGCCCGGAGCCGGAGCTAGAAAGATCGCTGGAAGAGCAAGGGGAAAGGTCACAGTTGACCGCGCAAGGTTACAGATACTCTATCTCTATCGCTAGGAGTAGTAGACTTACAGCTGGGCCCCACCAGGACTCAGACACGCTTGACTTCCCTATCATTAATGGGAGGACACCGACGGGCCGCCATGTGTACAGACCCAGGACCTTCCACGTTCAGTCAGGAGATCCAACCGTGGGCAGCATGTCGACGGCTAGTGAAGAGGTGTCAGCGAGGGCAACTCGACCGCGCCGACGCATTTTGTCTGTATGCATCACTTTGGGTTGAAACAAACATAAACCGCGGTCCGTCGTGACAACGCAAACGGTTCATTCATGTCTCATTTTCGACATAAATTTGAGTTGAATTTATGTTAGCACGGACACGCAAGAGGGCCGCCCTTGTCCTCTACTAGTCCACCACACAGTGACACATCCACCCCATATTCCCCTTCTCTCTCAAAAACTACCCCCCCCCCCTTGCCATAGCCGACGCGCCAAAACCCTGGCGGCTTCACTTTTCCCGCCTCCACGAACGACGAAGCGGTCGGCAATCCCCGCACCATCCCTAGAAGCAGTCAAAGAAACTTTGCAAGGCATGATGACCCAAAAGAAGGGAAAAGAAGTGTACGCAAGAAAAGAAGGAGCAAACGAAGGCTTGCGTCAAGATACAGAAAAAGAAGCTCGAGATGGAGGCGGGCATACAAGCAAAGAAGCTCGGGATAGAGGCGGCCAATGCCAAGACCAAAGCAAAAAGTGACAGCGCTCGCTTTCATGGTGAAGGAGCAACATTGAATAAATGAGCCAACAAGTTGAGCAAGAAGAAGCAAATTTTACTATTCCCTCGGTTGTCGCGCGCAATGGCTACCTAGCCTCCATCATATCAATGGTGGCACAAAACTTGATGACGGTGGTCTGGATGGCCTACCATCGATATAATAACGATCTCATATTGAGATGATGAATTATGTGCATGTCATATGGCACAATGTGCTTTTGGGCGTGAAATGAATCATGCACGTGCTGCCAGAAGAGCCCCCTCCCCCCTATGCTCCTGCCTACGATATCCTCGGATATGCTCAACCACACATCGCACAACAACTCATCCTTCATGGTCGAGTACCCCGCCATCCTTTGTACTTTAAAAAACAACATGGCGTTCGAAAATAAGCTCAATGACATTTGACCGAACACCTACCAGGCGTGGTGTCTGCCATGGACGAAGTTGACAGGGGGTGGAGTGTACCTGCCTACGAACGGGTCCTAGGTGGACGCCGTCGAAAAAGGTGAGCGGGTGTGTCGGTGCTGGTCGGAGAGGGACAGTGGCCGCGACCGCGGAGGAGGGTGCATATGTAAAGTAAGGGGAGAGAAGGGGCATATTGGCAGAAAAATGGGACCGTGAATGGGGATTTAGTGGGTCAGGGGTCTCAAAGTCCTACGTGACTGCTGAACGAACTCCCACAAAGCCCTCCCACTCCCCCAACTTTGCTTCCACTTTGTGGGAGAAAGTGCGCCCGGACCGCTCGGCGGGTCGATACATGACCGCGTTGGATAGCACAACACATTTGGATCTCGCGGTCAGGGTGTATGTGGGCGATTTGAGGGTCAGCGTTGGGGACATCCTTATATCCCATAAGTCATGCAAGAACCTAAGCCACCACGGTGATTTGAGCTTCTCGCCCGTTGGATCTACGACTTGATGTGATTCTGATCATTGGATCTGCCCCTGAGATGAGCTCAACCGTCGGATTAAATCCAGGATCGAAGGAATGAACAATTTGTTTGTTTGTTTTTCCACTTGGGGGTCGTCTCTCACTGACTATTTGGGCCAGGCGTTCGTGGGCAGCTGTCGTGGCTAGGGAGGCTCCCGGTGTTGGCCTTCCACGATGAAAACTCGGTGGCCCCGCATATGGTTTTGACGGCTCACCGAGGGCACTGAGGGCATTTTGCCATGCTGTATAAAGGCATAGAGTCCATAGGGTCTCTCCTCAATCAGATTGCTCTCTTCCTATTTCTGTGCGAGAGAGCAACCACCGCCCTCTCCCCTTCCATTTTGTGCTCTCTTCTCTCTTACTCGCCCCCCTACCCTCGCACTGCCGCCCAGTCGGCTGTCAGCCCGCCGGTTCCATCGCCCAGCAGCCATCCCCATGTCACCCTCATCTCGAGCCGCCGACATTTGGCATGCCGATGATCAGGAAAATGAAACCATCATGCAACACTTGAACTAGTCTTAGAGGCAAGACTAAGAATCTATTTTACTGGTTATTATTTCACACGTGCACACAAGTTTTCCTCATAGCCTCGTGGTTATTATAGACTCGATAACCATTACAGTTATAACATATAAAACAAACATTAATTACGAGCATGAAAATAAATAATAACATTTAATATTGTCTCTAGGGCATATTTGCAACAAATTAATGAGTTTACATGTCCTAATTGGAATCCCGATACACCAACCATGTTGGGCTGATAAAGGGGACTCAGTGGCTACAATTGGGGGCAAAACAAGAGAGACAGAAGTACAACCAAAACAACCAGTCATATTTGGCGCGTAGGTCGCCAAATAGCGACCTGATGTGTATCCCTCCCATGCGCATGTTCTCTGTATGGCCGGTCCATAGAGGTTTTTCCCCATTGGTTTTGGGAAGATTCTAGAACCTTCCCTGACTAGTTTTTCTTTCTTTTGTCTTATTCTTTTTGTCTTATGTTTTTCTTTTCTTTTCAATTTCAATTTTTGTTTTTTCTTTTTCTTTTTCTTTTTCAATCTTTCTTTTTTATTTTCTCTTTATTGTTCATTTTCTTTATTTTATTCCTTTTCCCTTTTTCATTCTGGGAACACCTTCCAAATTCATGGACATTTTCTGAAATCATGAATAGTTTTTGAATTTCTGAACATTTATCAAATTTGTATCATTTTTCCTTTATTTTTATTTTTTCATTTTGTGAACAACTTTTGAATTCCTGAATATTTTTCAAATTCAGCGATCATTTTTCCTTTAGTTTTCCTTTACTATTTTTCATTTTATGACCATATTTTAAATTCGTACACATTTAAAAATCATTAAGGAAAATTTCAAATTCATGATTCTGTTAAAGAAATTGTGAACATTTTTCAAATTCACAAAAGATAATTATTTTTTCCTTTTGGTTTTTATTTTTCCATTTTGCAGACATCTTTGAATTCGTGAACATATTTTGAAATCATGAACATTTTTGGAATACACGAATAGTTTTTGAAATATTAAACATTATTTGAAATTTGTAGTTTTCTTGAAATTCATGAACACACTTTTGTTTGGATTAACATTTTTCGAAACACATGAACATTTTTGAATCGGCGAGCATTTTTTAAATTGATGAACTTTTTCAGCAATTTGGGAACAGTTTTTTGAATTTAAGACCATTTTTTTGAATTTTGTGATTGTTTTACAAATTCATGATGAATTCGTGAACATCATTCGTATTCTTGAACATTTAAGAAATCCCGAACATTTTTTAAATTTATGATATTTTTTAATACATGAACGGATCCAAATTCATGATTTTTCTAAATTCAAGACAATTTTTTGATTTCGTATTTTTTTAGAAATTTATTCATGAACTTTATTCGGATTCTTGAATATTTAAGAAATCCTGACCATTTTTTAAAATACGTGAACATTTTTTGAATACATGAACAGTTTTCAAATTCATGATTTTTGTTGAAATTAATAACTGTTTGCAAAATACTGATTTTTTTTCGAAGTTTAGATTTGTGAACAGGCTTAGAGTAAAAAACAAACGAAAGAAAGAAAAATCAGGGGCGCCACGGGCCTGCGCATGAGCCGGACCAATTCAAGCGCGGAGGGAGGGGGTGCACATTCGCTGAGTACCCAGCCAAAACCCTGCTCGAGACGCAGGCATGCATGGAGCCTTTTTCACTTACAGAAGACCTTGGAATCCAGAGGGCAGTGGTGGCATCGAAACATCTTTCAAACCCATGACCAATTTTAAAATTTATAACTTTTTTGCAAAATCGCGATCATTCTTTTTAGAATTTTAGATTCGTGAGCAATCTCGGAGTAAAAAGAAACAAAAAAATGAAAGAAAGAAAATTCCGGGGCGCCACGCGTCCGTTCGGACCAAATCATGCGCGGAGGAGGGACCGTGGTGCGCATTTTTGCTGAGTACCCAGCCAAAACCTCAATCACTAGTCTACCTTTAATTTTTGATACTAGAAAGGCCATCACGGCTAGCTTTATTAAAATCAAACAATCTTTACATCATTCTGATATAAGTTCAGAAATAAAAACAGGTGAGTCTAACAACAAGTTTGGTGGATCGTCACGACCATTCTACGCTAGCACACGAGTCCCCAGCCAAAACCTCAACCACCAGTGTGCCTATGTCGTACTCCATCAAACAACAAAATACTGTAGTCAGATAGATACGTCTCCAAAGGCTAAGCACGATTTTTCTTAGACCACTCGTGTGAAACGCGCGCGCCTCGTCCATGGCAGCGATTCCTTCATCGCCTCGTTCATGGCAGCGACTCGTCCATCATCCACCCCCACCGAGTACGTCCTGCTCGATGTCGATCGCTCAACACACAGAAGCCACGCATTGTCCCCTCAGCAAAATTCCGTAGTGCAGATTGTCATAGTACTATAAAGATATTCCCAGCCTTGGTTACATTTGGGTTTGCTGGCCTGCTGGTGTCGAGCGAAGATGATGTTCCGAGCAATGCGCGCCGTCCTCAGGTACGCAAACGATGCCATCAAGAATGGCGAACCCGCCATGTTGATGTTCTGAAGCTGCGTCGCTCACCTCTTCTGTTTTCCTGAGAGTGCAGCGCGGCGAGGAGCGGAGCGGGAGGAAGGGCGGGAAGCTCGTCTCGCTTCCTCTCTGGGTCGTCGTCCGACTCCCGGAGGCTGGCCGGGAAGGTGGCCGTCATCACCGGCGCGGCGAGCGGCATCGGCAGGGTGACCGCGGCGGAGTTCGTCCGGAGCGGCGCCAGGGTCGTCCTCGCCGACGTCCAGGACGACCTGGGCCGCGCCGCGGCGGCCGAGCTCGGCGGCCCGGACACGGCCTGCTACACCCGCTGCGACGTGACCGACGAGGCGCAGGTGGCGGCCGCCGTCGACCTCGCCGTCGCGCGGCACGGCCGGCTCGACGTCATGTTCAACAACGCCGGGACCTTGGGCGGCCGCTACGTGGCCGCCCCGATCGAGTCGATGGACATGGCCGACTTCGACCGCGTCTTGGCCGTCAACCTCCGCGGCGTGGCCGCCGGCATCAAGCACGCGGCGCGCGCCATGGCCCCGCACGGCCAGGGCTGCATCCTCTGCACGTCCAGCACGTCCGGCGCGCTGGCCGGGTCGGCCCCCCACGCGTACAGCGTCTCCAAGACCGCCGTCGTCGGCATGGTGCGGTCCGCGGCCGCGGAGCTGGCGGCGCGCGGGGTGAGGGTCAACGCCATCTCGCCGTACGCCATCGCCACGCCCATGGGCGCGCGCGCCGTGAGGGAGATGCTGGGGCTTCCGCCGGGGGGCGCCGGCGAAGACGAGGAGGAGGTGCTCAGGCGGGTCTTCGAGGAGGACTTCAACGAGATGGGCGGCGGCGTGGTGCTGGGCGCGGAGGACATCGCGAGGGCGGCGGTGTTCCTGGCGTCCGACGACGCCAGGTGCATCACCGGGCATAACCTCATGGTGGACGGCGGGTTCTCCGTGGCGAAGCCGCTCAACGTGCCGGCGAGCTGAGGAGGACGGCGAGAATCGTGTCGGGTTACAAGAAAATTGCCAAGGAACAGAGCGAGCGAATAAATTTGAAGATAAAGAAACAGTGTGCTTTTGGTCTTATCAGAAGTTGCAGACATCAGCTGTTTCCCGACGTGCTCATGAGCACCAATGTCTGTTCAGACCCATGGCGGCGAGTGAAAAGCATGTCCATGCCCATATTTTCGATGCATAAACAACGGACGGTTCAACACATTATGAAATATACTTTTGACAGAAATACGAAATTGAACTTAGTTTCATGGGTCACATAAAAGGGATTCAACCATCTCGCAAAAAAAGGGATTCATCCGTTCAAACAGAGAACTCTTGAAATAGGCTTTCGCCCCGCTATATTAATATAGCAACCACCCGATACACCAAAAGTTCAACGCTGGGGTAAACAGTACAATCGTACCCAAAAGAAAAAATAAGAGAAAAACAAGAAAGAAAAAAAATGCCAAAAGCACTGGATCAACGAAAGTTGTAGTATTGCGCAACTGCTGCGCCCTCCGGAGAATTCCACCGCACTACTATGCCCCCGAATTGCCGTGTACCAAGCAACACTTTCAAGAAGAACCGCGACGACAATGACACTGCTGCCCGGACAAATCCTAGGATTTCTCCCGGTATACAGAGGGAATCGGTGGAGGGGGACTCCCGATGCCCTTCGAGAAAGATGGCGCCGCCCACATGCGTCACCGCTCGGGGAGGAGACGCGCGCGGGAGGGGGGGGGGAGGGTAGGGGGGAGGAAAGGATCAAACAGATAACTTCAATAGATTAACCAAAGGGCTTCATGGACACACACACATGTTATGTCAAAGAGCTTGTACCTATAGGGTTCAACGTTACCCATGGGCATAAAATATGCCCGAACGCTGTCCATGCGAGTCAGGCACACATTGGTATCATTACCATGGTACATTGGTGCATTTTCTTAAGATGGAGTCTAATTGAATTGCTTCGGTACACACCTACGATGGTTTCAATAGTAATGAGAATACACACGTTTGTAAGGAGCTGAGGATGCCGACGGAAGAGCTTTGTTGGTTCTTGAATAGAAACCGGCTTGCCCTGAGAACCGGCCCATTGACATCGAAGAAGAACAAGTTGGCTGGCGAGGAGGAGGACAAGACAAGAGCTTCAGTGCTTATGAGGTGCATGAGGAACGAGGACACCTTCATGAAATGGCAACAACTTCAGTCTACTGAGTTGACCAAGGAAACGATTCACCATGACGCCATGAAGACCACTATGGAGACAACAATGTGATCACCAACATCGCCAAGAGTGACGACAGATGCCATGTTGGAGAAGGAGGTATTCGAGCTTAGCAGGAGGTTGTATGTGCTAGAGGTGGTCTAGAGCTTCCTGGGGCGCACCAGCTCGCAGCTCACATGCTACTCTGTGCCCGCGAAAATGCCAAGCATGTTTTGGATGGAGCTTGCTGTTGGAAATATGCCCTAGAGGCAATAATAAAAGGATTATTATTATATTTCCTTGTTCATGATAATTGTCTTTTATTCATGCTATAATTGTGTTATCTGGAAATCGTAATACATGTGTGAATACATAGACACCAACATGTCTCTAGTAAGCCTCTAGTTGACTAGCTCGTTGATCAACAGATAGTCATGGTTTCCTGACTATGGACATTGGATGTCATTGATAACGAGATCACATCATTAGGAGAATGATGTGATGGACAAGACCCAATCCTAGACATAGCACAAGATCGTATAGTTTGTTTGCTAGAGTTTTTCTAATGTCAAGTATCTTTTCCTTAGACCATGAGATCGTGTAACTCCCGGATACCGTAGGAGTGCTTTGGGTGTACCAAACGTCACAACGTAACTGGGTGACTATAAAGGTATACTACGGGTATCTCCGAAAGTGTCTGTTGGGTTGACACGGATCAAGACTGGGATTTGTCACTCCGTATGACGGAGAGGTATCTCTAGGCCCACTCGGTAATGCATCATCATAATGAGCTAAAAGTGACCAAGTGACTGGTCACGGGATCATGCATTGCGGTACGAGTAAAGTGACTTGCCGGTAATGAGATTGAACGAGGTATTGGGATACCGACGATCGAATCTCGGGCAAGTAACGTACCGATTGACAAAGGGAATTGTATACGGGGTTGCCTGAATCCTCGACATCGTGGTTCATCCGATGAGATCATCGAGGAGCATGTGGGAGCCAACATGGGTATCCAGATCCCGCTGTTGGTTATTGACCGGAGAGCCGTCTCGGTCATGTCTACATGTCTTCCGAACCCGTAGGGTCTACACACTTAAGGTTCGGTGACACTAGGGTTGTAGAGATATGTATATGCAGTAACCCGAAAGTTGTTCGGAGTCCCGGATGAGATCCCGGACGTCACGAGAAGTTCCGGAATGGTCCGGAGGTAAAGATTTGTATATGGGAAGTTGTCATACGGTCACCGAAAAGGTTCGGGGGCATATCGGTATTGTACCGGGGCCACCGAAGGGGTTCCGGGGGTCCACCGGGAGGGGCCACCTCTCCCGGAGGGCCTTATGGGCTATATGAGGAAGGGATCCAGCCCAAAGTGGGCTGGGGCGCCACTCCCCCTAGGGCCCATGCGCCTAGGGTTGGGGGAAACCCTGAGGGGGGCGCCCCCCTTGCTTGGGGGGCAAGCCCCCTCCCCTTGGCCGCCGCCCCCCTCTAGATCTCATCTAGAGGGGTCGGCCCCCCTTCTCTCTTCCCCTATAAATAGAGGGGCGAGGGGAGGGCTGCTAGACACATCCAAGGCGCAGCCCCTCCCCTCCCCAACACCTCTCCTCCTCTGTCACAAGCTTGGCGAAGCCTTGCCGAGTACTGCTGCTCCACCACCACCACGCCGTTGTGCTGCTGCTGGAGCCATCTTCCTCAACCTCTCCTTCCCTCTTGCTGGATCAAGAAGGAGGAGACGTCACGCTGACCGTACGTGTGTTGAACGCGGAGGTGCCGTCCGTTCGGCGCTAGGATCTCCGGTGATTTGGATCACGTCGAGTACGACTCCCTCATCCCCGTTCTTTTGAACGCTTCCGCTCGTGATCTACAAAGGTATGTAGATGCAATCTGAATACTCGTTGCTAGATGAACTCATAGATGGATCTTGGTGAAACCGTAGGAAAATTTTTGTTTTCTGCAACGTTCCCCAACAGTGGTATCAGAGCTAGGTCTATGTGTAGTTCTCTTTACACGAGTAGAACACAATTTGTTGTGGGCGTAGATGTTATCAACTTTCTTGCCGCTACTAGTCTTATTTTGCTTCAGCAGTATTGTGGGATGAAGCGGCCCGGACCAATCTTACACGTATGCTTACGTGAGACTGGTTTCACCGACTGACATGCACTAGTTGCATAAGGTGGCTGGCGGGTGTCTGTCTCTCCCACTTTAGTTGGAGCGGATTCGATGAAAAGGGTCCTTATGAAGGGTAAATAGAAGTTGACAAATCACGTTGTGGCTTTCACGTAGGTAAGAAAACGTTCTTGCTAGAACCCTATTGCAACCACGTAAAATTTGCAACAACAATTAGAGGACGTCTAACTTGTTTTTGCAGCAAGTGTTTTGTGATATGATATGGCCAAAGTTGTGATGAATGATGAATGATATATATGTGATGTATGAGATGTTCATGCTATTGTAATAGGAATCACGACTTGCATGTCGATGAATATGACAACCGGCAGGAGCCATAGGAGTTGTCTTTATTTTTTGTATGACCTGCGTGTCATTGAGAAACGCCATGTAAATTACTTTACTTTATTGCTAAACGTGTTAGCCATAGTAGTAGAAGTAATAGTTGGCGAGCAACTTCATGGAGACACGATGATGGAGATCATGATGATGGAAATCATGGTGTCATGCCGGTGACAAGATGATCATGGAGCCCCAAGATGGAGATCAAAGGAGCTATGTGATATTGGCCATATCATGTCACTATTATTATTTGATTGCATGTGATGTTTATCATGTTTTTGCATCTTGTTTACTTAGAACGACGATAGTAAATAAGATGATCCCTCATAATAATTTCAAGAAAGTGTTCCCCCTAACTGTGCACCGTTGCGACAGTTCGTTGTTTCGAAGCACCACGTGATGATCGGGTGCGATAGATTCCAACGTTCACATACAATGGGTGTAAGATAAATTTACACATGCAAACACTTAGGTTGACTTGAGAGCCTAGCATGTACAGACATGGCCTCGGAACACAGAAGACTGAAAGGTCGAGCATGAGCCATATAGAAGATACGATCAACATGAAGATGTTCACCGATGTTGACTAGTCCGTCTCACGTGATGATCGGACACGGCCTAGTTAACTCGGATCATGTTATACTTAGATGACTGGAGGGATGTCTATCTGAGTGAGAGTTCATTGAATAATTTGATTTAGATGAACTTAATTATCATGAACTTAGTCTAAAATCTTTACAACATGTATTGTAGATCAAATGGCCAACGTTGTCCTCAACTTCAACGCATTCCTAGAGAAAACCAAGCTGAAAGACGATGGCAGCAACTATACGGACTGGGTCCGGAACCTGAGGATCATCCTCATAGCTGCCAAGAAAGATTATGTCCTACAAGCACCGCTAGGTGACGCACCTGTTCTCTCTGCAGAACAAGACGTTATGAACGCTTGGCAGACACGTACCGATGATTACTCCCTCGTTCAGTGTGGCATGCTTTACAGCTTAGAACTGGGGCTCCAAAAGCGTTTTGAGAGACACGGAGCATATGAGATGTTCGAAGAGCTGAAAATGGTTTTTCAAGCTCATGCCCGGGTCGAGAGATATGAAGTCTCCAATAAGTTCTTCAGCTGTAAGATGGAGGAAAACAGTTCTATCAGTGAGCACATACTCACTATGTCTGGGTTACATAACCGCTTGACTCAGCTGGAAGTTAATCTTTCGGATGACGCGGTCATTGATAGAATTCTTCATTCGCTTCCACCGAGCTACAAGAGCTT